GGTGCCGACTCGATGGCACCTAACAACAACAACAACAAATAAGTAGAGTCCTGGTGTGTCACTGTGAGTTAATGCACCAGACTGCAAAGCCATTTGGCTGCAAGGTCGGTGGTTCAAGCTCACCAACTGCTCCTCGGAAAGCCTATACAGGGTCGCTATGGGTTGGAATTGACTCGATGACACTTAACAACAACAAATAAGTAGAGATGAATTTCATAGCAATGGAATGACTTTTGTAAAGAAAGGTACATATTCTAAAGATGTCTGCCCATCAAATTACTCTAAAGACTCAATATTATTCCAACAAAAATATTCCTCCATATCTTCAATTGTTGATCTACCTATGTGAGGTCCAGACTTCACCCAATTTCCTTGTTATAATTTACTCAAGGGGTTAACGAAACACATCACAGATAAAGTTTGGAGACACCTTTGAGGTGTGTATCTTATCCTTACCATTGGTTTTACTTTCAACCCAAGCATTAATGGTTTTTCTTGTTACTTCTGGAGAGTGTTTAAAATCAACTGTTTGCTGCTGGGCTCCATATAATTTCTCAGAACAGTTTAAATATTGCTGTAAAAGAAAGGATAATAAAAACACAATGATGAACAAAAAGAAACCAAGCCCACTGAGTCAATTCCAGCTCATAGCAACTCTATAGGCCAGGGTCAAACTGCCCTGATGAGGTTTCCAAAGTAATCTTTATCAAAGTAGACTGCCACATCTTTCTACCTCAGAGTAACTAGTTGGCTCGAACTGCCAACTTTGGATTAACAGCCAAGTGTTTAACCAATGCCCCACCAGAACTCCTAACACAAAGATGGTGTAAGGAAAACAAAACCTTTACTGTAATTTGTTGTTTTGCTTTGTACTCTCTTAGAATTAAGAAAGCAAGTGATACTATAGAATAACCAAACTTTTCTGAACATTCTTCTTAGAAAATGGTTGGACCATTTCACTCTGTCCCTTTTCACAGCAGACAGGAGGAGTTACTGCTCTTGCTTCTAGACAGGAAAATGAAAACCAGAGAGGTGACACCATTTGCTGTCTGAGGTCTAAGAGAAAGTTAGTGAGAGAGTCTCAGTTGTACAGAAAGGTGACTTGGGAGTATTTAACACTTCCCCAGTGGCATTTTATCAACCTCCCTATGGCATGTCCTGGAATCTTGGAGTGGCACTGTGTGTTAATGCGCTGGACCACAAGGTCGGTTTAAATCGAAAAGTCGATGGTTCAAGCTCACCAGCTGCTCCTCGGAAAGGCTATACAGGGTCACTCTAAGTTGGAACTAACTCAACGGCACTTAACAACAACAAATGGCCAGTCCTAAACAAAAGCTGTAATAATAATCATACACTCTGATGTCGATGATTGGCATTTCTTCAACTTTATGTAAAATGTGAACAAAAGCATCTTCAAAAAGTCTCCATTTTTTTCACCTCTTACATATTATTCAAGCTAAAATGTGCATAAATACAGCTTCCATGTGAAGAGCCTAGCCCTCTCTTTTAACTAAATGCCCATCTCTCAACTCCTGCCATGTCTCATTCTCGAGCCACCATCGGTTAACATCCATGGCCCATATTCCTAGAATCATGACCTGTCTATTGCCTCACCGCCAAGACAACAACTAACCCTGCATGGACCCAAATGGAATTGTCCAGGATTCCATTGGTCAGGCCTTGGGGACACACCTGTATAGCTCAGCAGGATCGAGTATGCCACCGCAAACTAAGCAGGATGATCTGAGACTTAGGAATATCGCAGGTTTGACATTGACTGCCTACTCCTTGGTTTGCCATTTGTCCATATGGACTTTTTTATATGCCTAAATCCAGCAGCGTAGTGGTTACAAATCAGGCTGCCAACCTCTGGTTCATAGGAATAGTTGGTAGCTACTTTAATTTGTCTTTTACTCTCTCACCTTGGTTCTTAAACAACTCAGGGAGTTTTACAGAAGAAAAATGTTATGTGACATTTTATGACTTCAAATGGGAGTTGGTAAACCCATGTCATTGAAATTCTTAAGTCAGCTCAAATTTATTCCCTTAAAGATGAATGCTACGTGACTCTTCCCACCCCTCAATGATTCTATGGTGTGAACTTCAGAGATGTGCAAGAAAATGGTTGGCCACCATTCCAGATGGGCTTACCTGATGGAACCCCATCACCTTTGTCCCGTAGAGTCTGTTGGCAATGCTGAGGGTAGAGTTGGAGTCTGCTTGGTTGATTTGAGAGAATAGGGCTCCTAACTGAGAATGAATCCTTCCAACTTGGCTGCACTGAAGCATCAGCAAACAAAGAATGGTGCATTAAATTGCTTGGTTTCTTGCCACTGGAAAATTATTAGTAAGGCAAAAACAATTTCTTGAGATAAAGTCAGTAAATACTAATAAGCAAGGACTTGAAAAATCATTTCAAAGCATTTTTTCCTCTGGTCGTTCTCTAGTACAACTGTCTTATTATTCTGTGGATTCTAGTTGTAAACCTTGTAAAGAATCACAAACTATTGTGAAAGACATGTGCAGTTGTTGACCCTAACAGTTACATGCAAACACAAAATTTGACATAAATAATAACATCTTAGTTGGGTATTCAGGGCAATAATCTAAATTGTCTTGCACCATTTTCTTTATGGAATCATTTGTCTTCTCGATCACACTCTTTTCAAAGTTTCAGTTTTAGTGAAAGTGCAGAATTGCACTGAACTGACCTTACACAGCCATCTTTCCCTAAGTGATAACAAGTCTAGTAGAAATTCAGCTTTGAGGAATTCAAAAGATGACTGAGAAATTATGCACATGATACAGATAGGTCTCTAGTCCCGAAAACAATCATTTCCAAACATTTGCCTTAACCTTCAAATAATAAATTAAATTTTGTGATGTACTGTTCTGTGAATCTAGATGCATTTATTTATTTATTTATTTATTTATTTATTTATTTATTTATTTATTTATTTATTTATTTTAAATCAAACATGTAACTGTTTTCATGTGAGAGTTCTAGATAACTTTTATGTCCAAAGGAATCCCACTGGAAATAAGTCGGGAGCCTCACCTCAGATCATGTGGGTTGGGGACATCAGACCTTGTTTTCCAGGTGTCTAATTGTGTGGCAAAGCCTGAGTCCTGTCTCAGTGCCCTCACTCTACTGAAACATCTAACACTACAGGTGAGGATGGCAGCTGGACATGGGGAAGAGTCCATAAAAGAACAGAAACGTTAGCATAAGGCTGGCAATAAGGTAATAAAGTCTGGAGGACTTTTCCTATTGTTATTATGCTAACCTCTGTGACTGTCAAGAAGACTAAAGGGGAGACAGAAGGGAAGATTGTTAGCACCCTCAGGAGCCAACCAGGAGATTTCATTCAATTCCTAGAGCCCTCAGGAGCCAACAAGGAGACTCCATTCAATTCCTAGAGCCCTCAAGAGCCAACCAGGAGATTCCACTCAATTCCTGGACTATTATTTCTTAGTGCTCTTATGTTAAAGGCCACTTGACAACTCAATTATGTTTCAATCATACCTTAGATGAGTCCTTAAACTCTGGTTTTAATGATCCTACCACATGACTAAAGTGAAGCACCTAGAAAAAAGAAAGGCATGAATTGGCATTACAAGCAATGTTCCTTTTCTAGTTCAGATAAAGACCAACAGTAACAGCTAACATTTCATAATGTTATGCACCCAAGTCCTGAACTAATATAATTTAGCCTGCCCAATGACTTCATGCGTAGCTACTATTACTCCCATTATATAATTAGGGAAACTGAGGTCAGGAAAGATTAAGTGACTTGCCCAAAGACATCATCAGGCTCCAGGGACTGGGCATTTATACACTAAGCCTTCAGTCCCACTTCCAACTGTTCTCAGGGTTTTTTCCATTATATATCATCTTTTATTTCTGTAGAAAGTCAAGAGGATGACACTAAACAACTCTCTTAAGATACTTATAAATAGCTTTGCTCCTTTCTTTCTTTATTCCATATTTCAATGGATTTTTGCTATTTCCTTGCACTTAAAGTAGATATTGTGCTGAGATGGTGTCCATAGGGCTGTATAAGACATTATATGGTTTCCCCGCACAATATCTATTTCAAGTGCAAGAAAATAGCAAAAAATCATTGAAATGTGAAATCAAGAAATAAAGGAGAAAAATTGTAAGATATGTAAGTATCCTATAAGTTGTGTAGTGACATTTTCTTGACTTTCTATAGGGATAAAAAGTATATAAAATGGAAGGGAAAAATCACAGAATAGCAGTCTATGTAACCTGAAAATCTGCCTCTCTGAGTATAAGTTTTCCCATCCATAACCCATAATAAGGGTTAACCCATTTCCCAACCCGTAGTAAGGTTAACAATCCCTATCTACCACAGACTTGTTATAACATTTCAATGTAATAATGAAGACTTACAAAATAAACAACTTGATAGCTTTCAAAATATCCTATAAATACAAGTCATTAAGTTTTTATTCTAAATTTACCTGCAGAGGACAAGACTAGAGGCACACATGTATTATCTATCACATTTAAATCATGAGAGGAGGAACTCAAAAGTAAGCTACAGAGATTTATTTGTGGTACCATGAAGATATAATGGCATTATTAAGTGATTATTCATTTTTTAAAAATATGCTTTGCTCAAATGTGTTGCATGTTTCACAGGTTGGCCACTCCCTTGGTCTAAAGAGGCAAGGAAAGGTTTTTCAGAGCATGGGGACAATCTCGGTCATAATCACCTTCTCCATTTGCATTGCACTGTTTCTTCTGGCGCCAAGGAGGATCATACTTAGGGCATAAAGCAGACTCAGGGGAGAAAAGAAGATGTTATCTCCTGCGTTGTTACTGTTCAACTCTTTGAAGACATCAAGGCAAAATTCAACATTTGCTGTGCTGAGGGAACCCATCGTGTATGCCAACCACTGCCTGAGAACAGAAGGGAAAATAAGCATGGAATGCCCATGTCATATCTCAAGTTCAGTTACTCTATTTCATGACTATAAGTGCTTAAGCACATTGCTTTGTGGGAAATCATATGCACGTATCAACTTCTGAGGAGTGAGGGCTAAAGAGTAGAAATTACAGGAGCTTTAGTTTCTAATGAACCAAAGATTTCCTGTTCCTTTCAATCAACACTTCACAGGTACCTCATCATCTAAAAATGTAATTGTTCCGGAACAACAAAGCAGAAGGGATTGGCTCTCTGGGTTCTTGGTTTCCATGCACTCAAGTATTCCTCATCTAGGAATTTGTGTAGAGAAAATCATGAGATTCATGATCTCCATCAGTCCGGCTATTTTCCCACTAGGCTCCTCACCTTCACAGCCTAACAGAGGGAAGCTCCATGTCCGTCATTCTTGCACAAACAAGTTGATAGTTGATCAAGGAAATTTATGCAAAATTATTTGCACATTTTGATCTCCTACATGGGGCCTCATTCCTTGTATCCCTCCATGAAGGCAATACCCCCACAGGTAGGCACTATCATGAGAATGCTAATTGCTCAGTGGTAGGCTTCTTGCCTTCCAGGAAGGAGGCATAATAAGCCCCTGTGATTACCTTGTGTCCTTCCAGAAAATCTATCAAGGTGACCTCCTGAGAATCCTAACAAACAGTCACCATAACCTTCTGAACTGACCTCCCTGCCTTGAATTGAACTGGTCCAACAGATGCCCCCATAAGTCACTGTTTAGATTAAACCTTTTTTTGAAGGCACCATAATGAGGCTAATGTGTCAGACTGCAAAGTAGTTTGAACTGCAAAGGCAGTGGTTCAAGCTCACCAGCTGCTCCTTGGAAACCCTATACAGGGTCGCTGTGGGTTGGAATCAACTAGACGGCACTTAACAACAACAATAATGAGGCTAAAACAATTATATTAATGAGAACTTGTCTTCAACCACCCACTGATCACAGAGATGTGTTTAAACACATTTTGTTTGAAATAAACCCGTGAATGTATGAATTGAAAACCTAGTAGCCATACTTTTCTGATTTACCCTTGTATAGTAGAGAAATAAAAGTTCTAATTAGTTTGACTAATTAATATTGCCTAGTTGGTTTCCAGGAAGAGGGACCTCATGGAAGACAGAACTCTCAAGGCACATAGACCACTATAAAAGTTCCATGGGCCCCAGAAAAGACTCCACCCATGGTACAAGAGCATTATTTGATCCCCCAAAGTGGAAATAACTCAGAAATTTCCCTCAAGTATACATTTTATGCTGGTTTTACGGTGAGAAAATTACCTTCCAAGAAGGAGAAATATGTCATCTGGAAGTTGTCATGGAAGAAAGGGAGAAGAAAAATGTCCAAAATTATAGTCCTTGTAGGCTAAGAAAGGAGATTTTCAGAAATGAGGAAATGTAAGGAGGGAATATTGGTATTAAACAACTGCAAGTGGACAGAGATCTGGATATGTCCTTCTAGGGGAAATTCATCTCCTTATGAACCGGAATACCGTCTGAGTAGACTCTTAGCTTTTTCCCAATGACATACTTTACCAGGGTTTGTGCCTACCTCCCTCCTCTAAATCAGGGCTAACCTTTTACTCCGACTCTCTGTCCTTCACACATTAAAAAGCTCACATATGCTTATTTTCTGAGAATTTCAGAATACACACCTTACCGCACACACGCAGCACTCATCCACAGAATACACATGTTATGTAAGAGATTCATTGCAAAACCAAGAGGAAACTGAAATCCAGGAAAATAAAGACATTCTTCCCAAAGCATTAAGTTATTAAGAAGTTCAATCCTTCTGAGTTTCAGAGAAGTGCTTCCAGGCACTGATGCCAACGGCAGCAACAATAGGGTTCCGATGTGCTAAACAAATCAGCGATCTGGAGTCAATTTAGCATCAAGAACTTTAATATGCTTGCTACCCCTGACTTACAGATGTGTTATGCACACATCACAGTATCCAAGTAAGCCACACTCAATTACATCATAAGCAAATCCCTCATTTGGTTAACACATGCCCAAGTCAACACAGGATTTTACGGCTCCTATCTGCTCCCCTTTGACATCCAGCACAGAAAGAGTTGTCTTTACCTTTTTGCTTCCTGGTGGTGAAGTGGACAGTTGGGCAGGAAAGATTGACACTGTGTCCCTCAAGAGGAAATATAAAGCCTTTGCTTTTTGCTCCTCCCTTTCCACTATGTCTTTAGTGACTCAGTTTGCTACCTGCTGAGGAGGACAGGTTGTCCCTGGAATGGCCACTGGAAGTGCCTTAAACTCCAGATGCTGAGGACAGTCAGTACTTTCTGTAGAAGTATCTAGCTCTTAACATCCACCTGCCAAGCTGGTGTGGGAAGACTTGCAAGCCAAGCCTGCCTTCAAGAAAGCAAGCATCAGAAGAGGGCAGCAACACATCAAGTTGGCAGTGCCCTAGCCAACATTCCAAGGACTGCCTATGCCAGTGTGGATGGCACAAAGCCACTCAACAGGAAAGATTCCAGCTGTGACAGACACTTCCTGCCCCCAGGCAGATTCATCCCAAAGTCTCCTGGGCTCTCCCACATGGACCTTGTGTTTTTATGTGGAGCTATAGCAATCTGCCAGCAGGTAAATCCTGTCCCAGAAAAAGAACACAGGAGGGAGTCCAAGCAGCAGTGATTCTGTGGTTTCAGTTTAAAAGCTTGGTAGGAGCAACAAGTCACACCTATCCAAAGTGAGTTCAGAGACTGTGGTGTGACTCAGGAGTGTGAAAGAAAGAATGTAGACTAGGAGGAGGGGTGAGAACTCAAGGCAAATAGCATGGGGAGTGGCCAGCTGTCGACAGGCCAGTCTAGTACACACAAGAGACAGTCCTGCGTTACAGGTGATACCATTGTCCCACCTGGGACAGTAGTAGCAACTGTACAGCTCTCTTGATGTGAGAAAGTGCTTCATGGTATGTGATTTTCTCCTCATTCTCAGGGTGTCTTACATCTTCCCCTGGTGACGTGGTGGCTGTGTGCCGTGGTGGCTGTGTGCCATGGTGGCTGTGTGCCGTGGAGTAGGTTCCGACTCATAGCGACCCTGTACAGGGTTTCCAAGGCTGTAAATCTTTATGGGAGCAGAATGCCTCATCTTTCTCCTGAGGAGCAGCTGATAGTTTCAAACTGCTGACCTTTAGGTTCACAGCCTGATTTGTAACCATTATGCTACCATCTTTCCTTACTCAAAGTAAAATCAGCCTACAAAACATTGGAATGGAAACGTTAAGTTAAAAATGATGGTTGTGCTCACAAAACTCTCCTAAAAATAGTTTACTACAACCAGCTATATTGAGCTGAAGCAGATTCTAAATATTTCCAACCTTCCTCTGCTCAGTACAAATAAGTTTCCCAAAGTAAGCCAACTCCAGCTGGGGGCCTAGGAGCCTCTTCCTACCAACAGGACTGACCTGCCCTTCTTTATCTTGTTTCAATCTTCTTAGAGACTCAATAAAAAAAAAAAAAAAGAACTGAATATCTTAGATTTTTGCTAACTGAGAATTCAGCTGATTAAAGAACTCTTTACGTGTTTGGCTAGATTGTGTCCTTTGTTTTCCCTATTAAAGGGGAAATAATTATACTTGGTTCCTGATTTTTTTTCCTTCCATTGGAAGGACATCCTTAGCATCATACTCTTGCTCTCCTGCATCCTCCCCAAGTGTCTTAACCAGAATTCCCTCATTCCGAGTTGTAGATAAAGTCTTCCTTATGGACAAGTCATTTATTTGGAAGCGATCCTAGGGAACAGAAATATGAAATAGATGAGAGTGGAACAGATAGAAGGGGACAGCTAATACAAAGATTGGCATCAAGTTGGTTGCTGGTATTGGATCCCACAGACTTTCAGAGGAACGTTATAAAGCATATCTCAAAACAGTTCAACCACAGGAAACATGGGGGAAGCACTTCTCTGCTGGTTTTCATTCCCATTGGTCAAGGATGTCCCTTTGGGTGTTAAGTTAGGAGACCCTGTACAAGTCTCCAAAGTACACATCCCACACCAAATTGTCAGTAATCTCTGGGGCTGGAAACAAGATGTGAGGAGAGGTACCATCACATTGCAACTGCCCAGAGCATGAGCTAGATTAAGATGCAGAGAAGGTAAGAGAATCAGAAGAGGTGTACAGGAAGTGTCCAACACAGTTAATGTAGCCTATTGGTGGGTTTGCAAGAGGAATTGCCCTTCAGTTTCTTCTGTGGGAATGAGCTGTCTGAAGGAAGTACACATTGTGGTCTGTTTCTCCTACCTTGAGTACCCTTGTGGTAGAGTCCCACAGTGAGAGGCCAGTATCCTTGTGACTAGGCTGTTGTTGTTGTTGTTAAGTGCCATTGAGTTGGTGCCGTCTCATAGCAACCCCATGTACAACAGAATGAAACACTGTCCGGTCCTGGGCCAACCTCACAATTGGTGCCACTCTTGGGCCCATTGATGCTGCCACTTTGGCAATCCATCTTGCTGGGGGTCTTCCTCTGTTTCTCTGATGCTCCACCTTACCAAACATATCCTTCTCCAGCAACTGGTCCCTCCTGACAACATGTCCAAAGTATGAGAGACAAAGTTTGGCCATCCTGGCTTCCAAGGAGCACTCTGGATGCACTTCTTCCAACACAGACCTGTTTGTTCTTTCAGCAGCCCATGGCCCTTTCAATATTCTCCTCCAACACCATAACTCTAATGCATCAATTCTTCTATGGTCTTCTTTATTCAGTGTCCAGCTTTCGCATGCATATGAGGTTATTGAAAATACCATGGCTTGGGTTAGGTGCACCTTAGTCCTCAAGCTCACATTTTTGCTCTTCCACACTTTAAAAAGTTCTTGTGCAGCAGATTTGCCTAATGCAATACGTCGTTTGATTTCTTCGCCCCTGCTTCTGTGAGTGTTGATGGTTGAGCCAAGAAGAATGAAGTCCTTGACAACTTCACAGG